ATCTATCTATCTATCTATCTATCTATCATCTATCTATCTATCTATCTATCTAATCATCTATCATCTGTCTAATCTATCTATCATCTATCTATCTATCATCTATCATCCCTCTATCTAATCTATCTATCTATCATCTATCTATCTATCTATCTATCATCAATCTATCATCTATCTCTCTATCATCTGTCTAGAGAGAGCATTAAGTTGGGTGAGGGGTAGTGACGGGAGGTGTGGCTAGGGGAGGGGATCCAAATACCATCAAATTATATTGTATGAAAATCCAAAACGATTCAATAAAAATATTCATAAAAAAGAATTTGTTGGTTCAAGAAGGGACATAAGTGATTTCCATTCCTTAAGTTCTTGATGCTTAAAATAGTATTTTCTTGCATTTTCAGATTTTAGTCTCTAAGATTTTTAATTTTAGTGGCATATATTAAAACATGTTTTAATCCAATATGAGTTTATTGTTAAAACTTAACTCTTACTAACTGGAAATTTGTAAAATTTTATGTTTACTTGTGTTTATATTTTACTTATTTAATCTTTTTTTGAATTTTTTTCTGCTGTTAGCTTTACAACAATTTAAGTTACATTCTTTTTAATATTTTATGAATTATTTTTGTACTATGTATATGAGGGTATTGCCTGAATGTATGTATGTACACCCATGACATGCAATGCCCATAGTAGTCAGAAGAGGGCATCATATCCTCTGGATCTGGAGTTATAGATATTTGTTAGCTGACATGTGGGTGCTTGGAACAGAATTAAACACTGAATCATATCTCCAGCACCTTAACTGCACTCTTGATTCCTGTTTACCTCGTGAAATATTTTTCTAAAACACAATCATCCATTAATCGTTGGACATTAATAATCTCTATCACATTCTCTATGCTTGCCTTTACCTTGTGAAAATAACCATCATCGAATAATTAAAAAGTTGCTGACTCCACTATTCAAGATAGAACTTTAGTGTACTTCTACCCTTTCTGCACTTTTTAGCACATGCATAATGATATATTGATATTTTATTGTTTATGGTAGGTTAAGGGAAATTTCATTTATGATCAAATTTAAAGAGGGGAATATGGTATCCCGAGGAGTTAGAAGGAAAAGGACAAAACTTACAAATTTTTCTAGGTCAAATTCTTATTGAGACACTAAGATCTCCAAATTGAAGAAGTTGATTTAAAGCCCATACCTTCTAGGTGTATGATAGCCCTGTGGAAACCTGGAGATTAGCATTGGTGAAGGCTTTATTTTATTTATTTATTTTTTTGTGAGTGTAAAGATCAAGAATGTATCAAACTGGTTTAAAAGATTTCAGGAGATAAACTTCTGGAAGAGTTACAATCATTTTGCTGAATGTGGAAAAGATAAAAATATTTCTCATAAATCAGAAATGAGAAAAGAATATGCACTTTCTCCACTTTTATTAAATACAGTGATTGAATTCTTAGATGGAGCATAAGGCAACAGGACAAAACAAAGGGGCTGTAAGTAGAAAGTCCAATTATCCATATGTATAGTCCTATAACTAAAATATCTTAAAGTTTATACCAGAAAATTTATAGACTGATAAACACTTTTAGAAAAGTAATAGGATAAAAATACAATATTCTAAAATTGAGAAACTTTTCTATAACATGGTTAGAGAAAAGTCATAAAAGTAACCCCATTTACAGTAACATAAAAAACAAAAAGCTAAAAAATGTGAATCCCATCAGCATTCCAATAACATTCTTTACAGATGTAGTAGACACTCCTTTAATTCTTATGGAAACACAAAAGATAGAATAGCTAAGAACTTCTAAGTGAAAGAAAAAAATGCTACAAGTGTAACAATGCCTGATCTCAAATTATATTGTAGAGTCATAACAACAAAAACTGCATGGTACTGGCAAAAGACAGACACATAAACCAATAGAACAGAACAGATAAAAACCCCACACAACTACAGACACCTGATTTCTAACAAAGCTGCCAAAATCATACATTGGAGGGGAAAAAAAAGTCAACAAATGCTGCATGGAAAATTGGATATTTACATATTGTAAATGAGACTAGAGCCCTGTCTCTTACCTTGTACAAAAATTAATTAGAAATGGTCAATGACCTTAATTTAAAATGTGAAACTTTGGATCGCAAATAGGAAATCACAACAAAAAACATTTCAAGTTATAGGCATAGGAGATGGCCTTCTGAGAAGAATTGCACTAGGTCAGCCATACTAGAAAAAATGAACAAATACAATTTGAAATGCTTGTAACATAGAACACATTTGCATTAGAGCAAGCATCCTTAATACAAGTCTTGGAACACTGAAACAATCATTCATTTTCTATGTTCATATATTCAATCTGCTCCACATACCAGTAAAAAATACTTTTGTAAGCTGGGTGTGGAGGCAGGCAGATCTCTGTGAGTTCAAGTCCAGCTTGGTCTACAGAGTGAGTTCCAGGACAGCTGGGGCTACAGGGAGACCCTGTCTCGAAAAGATAAAAAAATAAATTAATATAAAATTTTATATTACTAATCTGATGTATATTGAAAATTACTGATGATCACTGTAACATCTCAAACTCTTTCAAACTTTCCCTTTAACACAGAAATGTAAATATACCAACCAATAACATTCTTAAGAATGTTATCCTTAAGGAAGAGAATGCTGAAATCATAGCATATATTTAATAAACTGTGAACTTTAAAAATCAAACTGCATACTAAATTAAAGCAAACCAACTAACTGAATAAAATAGAGCAAAAATCAATGAGTTATCAATTAAATTCACCTAGATTTCTGAACATTAAATTGAATTCTAGAGTTTTGCTCATTGTTTTTCAAAGTGTAAGTAATATAAAAGCAGAACAATTTTAACAGTGTAAGAATAACTGAAGTAAACACTGCTGCCTTTAAAGATCCTCACCTTCCCAGGGCAGGAATTTGTTTGAGGCTGTGTGTTTTGGGTGGTGAAAAGGTGGTTACCTAGCAACAACCCCTCCTCCTTAGTCTGTGATGGGAGAGTCAGATTGAGCATGAAGGCAAATTGATTACTAGTTTGCTGGAGATAAAAGAACGATTTAATAACGTGGTAGGGCACAATTCCCAATCATAAGAAGCACAGAGATTTTATCTGTGGATTCCACTCCTAACTGGTGCTTCTGGAAGCTTATGTGGAGACTGGACAAATGCTAAACTGGTTGTCATCAAAAGAAAATGAGAGAAACATCAGACATTTTGACTAATGGCATTTATTTCCATTTTGCTTATTATAAAAAGCAATGAAATAGTTACAATAGCATTTACTCTGGGCAGTGGTCATCTGAGCCCAATGAATCCTCAGAAATAAAACAATAAGAGTGGGTTGGGGTTCTGAAGAAATACTGTTTAAACTATCTAAACAGGCTTTATATACCATTTTACCATCTGAAGATACAGTTAATGAGACACTAATTTACATATAACATATATAGAATATATTTACGTTTATAACAAATGAGCTTAAGCATGTTACAATAATTTAGCTGGAAAACATGTACTTTAACAAAATTTGCATCATGTATTTGGTATTGTGGTACACAAGTAAATGGCACTCTCTTTAAATCTAATGGGATAATCCCACAGGGTACTTGCATAACTGGAAAGAAAGGTACTGTGAGTGATCAGATTGATAAAGACACTATTACATATGCTGCCAAGGGACAATTAAATGCAGCAAATTAGCTTCCGTTTTTATAGCATGAGACTGTAAGATTTCAAAATGTCCATTTGAAGAGTCCTACAGTGCCAGCTGTGTGGGAGCTGATAGGAAGAAAAAGAACAGCGTCTTTGGCTTATAAAATTTTCCATGATGCAGAAGGCTGAAGCCAATTTCTCCCCAGACACAGTGCTGACGCTCAGGGAAGCTGTTTGTTAATGTGCAGGCACCAGTCTCTTGTTCAGTTGCTTCCTGAGACTTCTCTGGGCCTCCCCTGCTCTCCTCGCAGCACATATTGAATGGCATTTTCTCACCTAAATCCAGAGCAAAAGAAATTTTTGTGGAAGTGTGACAGGTGGGAGTCACATCTCCAGGTTTCTTCATAAAACTGCTAAGCATTTGTTTTTAAATGTCTTATGTTCAGATTCAAATAAATCAAAATAGAATACCATATTTTTCAGATCTTGAATCCAAAGAGTAGCATCTGCTCTGGAAATAATACTATTGTAATTATTTGCAGGAACCTATTAGGAACCAGGAACTTTGGTTGTAAATATTACCCAACATACCATTGTCAGAGTATGAAAAGTCATATCTGAGAGTGAGTTGAATACAGTTGGGTCAAAAGCCCTATTAAAACGAAGAGAGCTGTCAGTCCATCAAAGAGCAGCTACATCAGCCAGGTTTTTAGACTAGTAAATAGTTATTTTTAATGATCCATTTTGGAGGGGATTGCCCCAAAATTTAAGTATAATACGCATGTAATATTCCAAGGGATAATTTAGGACGCAAGTAAATAGATTCGTGCATCTTTTATTTGGGTCATTTGATATGGACATTTTCCTCTCCATACTCTTTATAGCCTCTATATATCATGATATTCTGATAAGTAGACCACAGGTTTTTTTTTTTAATGCCTGTAGATGATCAGGAGAATTTTACATTAAGAACTGTCAGGGATCCGTTTCAGGAAGTGCCTCCATACACTTCTGTGCCTCACAAAATAACATAGTATCTAGTAGCTCAACAGTTAAAATAATTGATGAGTGTGTGCTGTGAGGAGGGAAGCCGCCAGAAGAAGGGCTGGGAGGAGCGACTGGAGGGAGGAGGGGGAGGGCAGGTGCTGATTTCAGCCCTATAGCGTCAGGATTGCGTCAATTCGGGTTTCAGCCACGTCTGGAGTCTCAGAGACAAGCTTTTCAGAAGAGCCAAAACAGGAACAAGGTGGCACATCACTGCGAGGGTGCGTGGACCTCCCTGGACCCCTCTGGTTGCAGGTAGAGGTCGCCTGTTCTGCCTGTTTTCCTGAGAGCCAAAAGCCTGGCTCCAGGTTCAAGCAGGTGAATCCGCCCAGCATTCTATTCAGCACCAGGACAGAGCACGCAGCAAACATGGCTCCGATCACCACCAACCGGGAGGAATTCGGTGAGCAAGTTACTGAACTCAGGGGCTGTGGCTGGGCTCAGGGCTTGGAAGTGTTTTGCTTTCCATTGGATGTTGACTTTTTTTTTTTTTTTTTTTAAGTAGCTAATTTTAAAGGAAACTAAGAACAGCAGATGGTTAATTGTGGCGTACTCCCCCCTCCCCGCCCCCTTTGGATGCCTTTCTTCTTAACATTAGCTTCTGTTAGGACAGTTGTACATTCCAGAAGTTCCTGATGTTCTGCAGCTCTGCAAACTGCAGCCTGAGCTGAGGAAAAGAAAGGGATCAGTTGTTGGAACCCTGCTTCATTTATTTACTAGATGATTCTTATTTACAAGCAACTCAGCAGAAACTGCGTATGTCTGTGGTTACATAAGAGTTTGAAATGACATAAACGAACTTGAATATTGAGGGTTTGGGATGTGTATTTTGTTAGATTGACATATTTTTCTCTGCTCTGCCCTCTTGTAACCCTGAAGCATGTTGTTAATGACACAGAATTCTGTGATAGTGTAGTTCCAGACACTTTGGAACAGAACTGGCTCAGTTCATGTCACATTGCTGATGAGCTAACTGAAGCTCAGACCTATACAGTTAACGGAAAGCTGCTCTAAACTTGGATTAGGGCTTCTGCTTTCTGGACTGATTTTCCTGTTCTTATGCCAAAATTTTGTCACTAAATTGAGCCCCTTGTCTGTTTCAGTGAATAAAATCTCATGTGCTTCTCAGAATAAACAAGTAGCATATTTAGATTCAACTGTATTCAAAGAGCAAAAGGCCAAAATTCTTTGTACAAGTACGTTTTAATCAAGGAGTTTTGTAGAAACTTGTGAATGAAAATAGTATCTCTTGATACTTTAATAATTTCTTTTAAACTAAGTGATATAGCCATAGTCTTTGCTCCCAAAAGATAAATGTCCAGTCAGGAGAAATACATTAAAGTATAGGAATCCATGTTATTTTGAGTGCTTCAATATTAGATATAAGCATTAGAGACAATATTATGTTCATAAATGGTTTTTGGTAGCCTTTCATTGTTCGATTTATTTATTGGGTATGTCTATATGTGATATTTATGTTCAATTCTTTATTTGACATCAGAAATTTTCCCTTGCTGAGGCATCTTCAGAGACTATGTGAAAATATGTTCTAGTCCAGCTACCTTTCTACTTAGATCACAATAAATTTCAAGTGCTTTTATTGTTCTTCTTATGTTGGCTCTGAAGAATTTTCAGCCCATGTTTGATTTTGCTGCATGGCTGTGGATTATTAGAGTATATGAGTGGGGGCCACAAAGACTTGAGTGGAAGGGAAAACTGAGAAGCTGATACTAAGTTTAGCTGATTATCTTTAGTGCTTGCTCCTCCTCCTCCTCTTCTTCCTCCTCCTTTTGTTTTCTTTTTCTTCCTCCTCCTCCTCCTCCTCCTCCTCCTCTTCTTCTTCTTCTTCTTCTTCTTCTTCTTCTTCTTCTTCTTCTTCTTCTTCTTCTTCTTCTTCCTCTTCCTCCTCCTCCTCCCTCCTCCTCCTCCTCCTCCTCCTCCTCCTCATCTATTTTTAAGTAGTATTAACTTTTTTCTATTTAGGGAATTCAAAGGTTTATTTTCACATGATTCAGTTTGTTTATACAATTAAATTACAGAATTTTAAACTTGTTACTTCTTTGCCTTTTATCTCAAACATTTCTCTTACTGTTGTTATCCCATGTTATTTTATTTTATTTCAGTTTTAGGATTATGAATTAGATGGGTTGGATATTTTGGAGATGGAGAAGGGGAATTAAAAGGATTGATCTTCTTGGTGTTAGACAATTCTTAACCCTTTTCTGACTGGGATTTTAAGTTTAGTATTTGAGGTAAGACATGGCATGAAATAGAGTTAAATGTACATAAGACTACATCAGTTATATGCACTTTATGTTAAACATTCATTCAATTGCTGAACTATGTCTAGAGGTAGTAATACTGTTTTTACTGCACAACTACTATTAGAGAAATCTCCTTACATATGAAACATGATAAACTTTATGCATAATCACTATCACCATAGCACCCAATGTCAATGATTAAATTTGTCCTCAATCAAGGAAACAATTGCAATTTTAAGTTGATTACAATTTGCCATGTGGAGACGCACAAGGTAAAGTCAGTTATGAATAAAATTGAGCACTAAGTTATCTATATTTTTTCAATTTTCTCTTGCATCCTGTGAATGATTATACATTTATCACCATTATTCTGTTTCAGCCCACTTTAAGTTGTACTTTGAATAATCCTGTCTTTGAAGAATTTTTAGATTCACATAAAGGGGTTTTTAAATATCACAAATAATGTACTATTAGAACATTATTGTTTTTCTTTTTAAATTTTTTCTTAATAAATGTAACATTTTTATTGCATCCCATAATTGGGATGAAAAGTTTTAGTGTTTGTGGGAATAGCCAGATTTTGTTGGTGCTCTTGTTTTTTGATTTATTTTGATTTTATGAATGATTTTTTTTCCTAGATTTTTGCTGCATGAATTCTGGACAAATAAAGAAGTACTGAAAGTACAGAATTGAAATTCTCAGTATTTATTTAGTGTTCTACTCTCAGCAGATTTGATGCTTTTGGAAAGTCTCAAAATGTCAATGAAAATAAAAATTAGTACTATCCCATCCAGTTGAAATCAACTCATAATATCTGAGAAAACAAAGATAGGTCAAAGATATCAAACATGACCCCTGTTTGGCCCAGATCAATTTTCATCTTTTCATTTTAATTATGAGAAGCCACTGGTTAAGGCATTTTAAGTTATATTTTTTATGCCTGCCAGTTAAGAGATGTGTTTAGGCCTGAAGTTAATGTGAAATGTGGGCATTAATCATGACCAAACCTGGGAGGAATTAATTAAATTTGTACAACTTATAGCAATGCTAGCTCTATTATGATATCCCAGAAGGCATACATTTCAGTTCTTCTCCTTTAATGTGTGTTATTGGTCACTTGGTTTTTCAGATGAAATTCCTACAGTAGTGGGAATCTTCAGTGCATTTGGCCTTGTCTTCACTGTCTCTCTCTTTGCGTGGATCTGCTGTCAGAGGAGATCATCTAAATCTAACAAGACTCCTCCATACAAGTTTGTGCATGTGCTTAAAGGGGTTGATATCTACCCAGAAAACCTAAAAAGCAAAAAGAAGTTTGGGGGAGATGACAAAAATGAAGTCAAGAATAAAACAACTATGCCAATGAGCTCACTGCATCTTGATCTTGAGAAGAGAGATCTCAATGGAAACTTCCCCAAAACCAATCTTAAAGCTGGCAGCCCTTCTAATCTAGAGAATGTGACCCCAAAGCTCTCTAGAGAAGGAGAAAAGGAGACCACTTCCCCTGACAGCCTGAAGTCCAGCACTTCCATTACTTCAGAAGAGAAGCAAGAGAAACTGGGAACACTCTTCTTGTCCTTAGAGTACAACTTTGAGAAAAAAGCATTTATGGTGAATATCAAGGAAGCCCGAGGGTTGCCAGCCATGGATGAGCAGTCGATGACCTCTGACCCATACATCAAAATGACGATCCTTCCAGAGAAGAAACACAAAGTGAAAACCAGAGTGCTGAGAAAAACCTTGGACCCAGCTTTTGATGAGACCTTCACATTCTATGGGATCCCCTACACCCAGATCCAAGAGTTGGCCTTGCACTTCACAGTCTTGAGTTTTGACAGGTTTTCAAGAGATGATATCATTGGAGAAGTCCTTATTCCTCTTTCAGGGATTGAATTATCAGATGGAAAAATGTTAATGAGCAGAGAGATTATCAAGAGAAATGTTAGGGTAATTATTTTGAGTGCCTAAAATATTTATCTTTAATGTAGACATTGCTATTTAAGGAAATTTCATTCAAATGATGTTAATACATATTATCCTCACCATGCATAATTACTGTGAGGTATAACAAATAGAGGTCAAGGGGCTGGAGGAGACAGAAGGAAATTTAGCCCACAATAAATGTTCTAAGAATTTTCATGATACAAAATCTGATGACATACTTTCTGATATTTATGCATCATTTAGAGGGGTTTTGTTATCCTCTATTAACAGTATTTTCTACTATTTAAAAATCCATTTGTCATGTGTATGTTTCTATTTAAAAAAATTTTTTTTTAGACAGGTTCCTCTGAAAACCCAATTGACTTGGGAATAGTTATATAGATCAGGCTTTAATTCTAACCTTGAAACATCTTTGCTAACTTGCTTATGATTAACAAGCACACACATGAGCTGGAAGTGGTGGCATACATCTTTAATCCCAGCTCGTGTGTGTTTGTTACTCATAAGCAAGTTAGCAAAGATGGTTCAAGGTCAGAATATTTGAATTTGAAATTGAAACTTAAAATTAACTCAATTCCTATTGAGAATGTGGAATTTGAATGGATTTTTATGAAATCGATTAAGGAAGGTGTTATCCCATTATGGGAGATGATATTGTCCATTTCTCTGCTGGTTAAGGAAAGTGAATTCTTCTACCTTCTTACTTATACTACTTTGATGATTCTTGAATGATTAGAAATGAGAAGACATAAGTTAAACAAATACAATTCTTTAATTTTATTTATTTATTCTATGTCTCTATTTAAAAGAGAATTTAATCAATCCAAATGGTGGTATTTCAGAATAATTTGCCTTCATAATGTTTTAATTTAATGAAATAACAAGGACACTATTTTTGTCTTTTAATTATAGTATTTTAGATCTAAAAGTAGCTTAGAACACTTTGTAACCATGTTCCTGCCCTGAGTGTGTTGACATCAGTGAAAGTCCAGGCCTCGAGAGCTGCATAGCTTTTCTGAGGCACCTGGCTGATTGGAGTTCAGTAGGATCAGACATCTGTCTGGCTACTTTCTCATTCCTTATTGGTATGTCTGTTTGTACAGCTAGCTTATGTCACCTTTGTACATACTGTAGTTTTAGAAAATCTTCCTCAGCCATCACTCTTAGTTATAATAAAGTCCTTACTTACCATTTTACTTTTAGTTAAAACTTGTACTTTGCATTCTGATTTGTCTTAGATGATGTTGTAAGTATGCAATATTATTGTCAGAGGCAGAACAAATCTTTGATTCGAATTCAAATTCCAATAATGTCAATAATAAAGAATTTAAAATACAATCAGACATGGGCTATGTGATCCTACGTGCCGGTTGAAAGAATTGTGTGTTTTATAAATGTTAGTGACTTTAAAGCTTAGAAATATACCTAAATATCAAAGGAAAGAATATCTTTTTTTTTTTTTTTTTTTTTTTTTTCCCCACCATAATACAAGTACCCTTTAAAACATGTGTTGGTACTGGGTGTGGTCAAATCCTTGCAAATTTTAGCATTCTGTAGTACCTAAAAAGACCACAAGATGGCAAGCAATGCTTCTAAGGATGTTTATATGATAGAGCTGCCTGGACAAAAGCTGATGCTCAAAATTCCTGTTTATTTATTAAAATAAATATAACAGGAACATTAAATTAAAATAACAATGATATTATATTGCCATACATCTTTTGATGAGAGTACAAAAGTTATAATCTAAAAATACTTTTACTATGCTCTTTGTTTAGAAGTCTTCTGGACGGGGTGAGCTTCTGATCTCTCTCTGCTATCAGTCCACCACAAACACTCTCACTGTGGTTGTCTTAAAAGCTAGGCACCTACCGAAATCTGATGTGTCTGGACTTTCAGGTAAGAATGCTTCTTAATATCTGGCTCAGTCTATACATGGTTAATGTATCCAACAACAGTTATTGACTAAAACTGGGCTCTGATATTTTACTTTCATTCACAATCACAAGTTGTAGGAGTCTGGGTTTTTTTTTTTTTCTTGCTATTTTGAATCATTAATGTGAGTCAGTGCTTCTAACAATGAGAAACCCACATAGCTCTAAGATAAGGTCAGTGAGGAAGGAAGATCTGAGCGAAGGGTATAAAACAGAAAGTAATGAGCAATGAAGAGGGGAGTGATGTGGCCCAAACACACAGAAGGGAAAGAGATTAATGCTCAGAAAGAGTTTTCAATTTTAGTATTTCAAATGAACTCACTTTTAAATGATTTTTATCTAATAATACACATGTACAATTTAAGAATTAAATTAGCTTTGAATAGATTTGCAAAATATAACACTAAACAGTGTTTGCAATGCATATTCAGGAAGAACATGAGCTATGGGTTAAAATGACCTAAATTCGAATTTTCACCCTTGAATTTCTTAGTATAGTATCCTCATAGTTTTATTCATTTTCTTAAATTCTATACAAATTGAACATCATAATACTTACCTGGGGGCATTTTGAAAATCAGAAAAATATATTTCAGTAGATA